CGCGAGCCACTGTGCCCGCCGCGGCCTCCGCACGGCCTCTGGTGGCCCCAGCGCGCTGCGCGGCGCGTGAGAGCGCTAGCTCCCTAGACTGCGGCCGTGGAGGTGGCTCTATGCCGAGGAGTCCCGACACTGCCCTCCAGTCGCCACCCCAAGAGTCTCACTCCGAACGGATTATAACTTGAAAGGGGCGGAGCAGAGGGCGTCAATTGCTAAAGCCTTTTCGTCCCCGGCCTTACACCCCACCCCACCCCCATCCACCTCCGCGGAGGCTCTGCTTGTCTCCTCAGAGCCCGTAGGACAACCCGAGGCCGCCAAGACACTCTATTCCTCCCCCGCACCTTGGTGTTTTCTCTTTTGCCAGCTGCAGGCGTTGTGAGCCAGGACTCATGGCCTGTCTTGGGGATACACTGATCTCTCCGGATCTTGGTTTAGGAGGCGCTCTCCCAGGGAGGCGGGACGTGCTGGGTGCCAAAGCAGAAGGTTGGGTACCTGGGGCTGTGAATCGGAACCTAAGAGTTCTGGGGGCTGTTTGTCCTCCTAGCTCCCAAAGGAGAGAGCTCTCCTGGCTGGCGATCCCTGCGCGGTTTGCTCAGCTAGCAGCGGGTTCAGTGCTCACTCACCACTAGCCCTGGCCGCCTGCCGTTCCTTCCCAGGATAGGCCTCCCTCTGCAGGCTGGGCTCCTAGGGCCCGCGTTGCGGCCGCGATGATTAAGGGGTGCGTGTGAGCTAATGAGGTGGTGCTGGCCGACAGCACTTTAGAACCAGTGGCACTCGAATTATTCTGTAGCAATTTGTGGATATGAAAACCATGTTTCTGGTACAGCTACCAAATCATCCCGTGCTTCTATCGACTTTCTCAAAAATCTCACATACTGATGATAGTTGGGAAATTATAGCTTTTACCGTGTCGACTCTTACTGAGAGTAATTTTAACAAATTCTTGCAGGATAGATTAGCCTTTAGTAGATAAATCAAGCTCCGTATTTTCTTTTTCCGATTTGTAAAATTGAGATGACAGCTTTACACAGAATAAGTTTAAAATTTTGGCTCTAGCACAAGTGCATTCCTGATAAAGCTTGTACTTCAGGGCTCCAAAATTTTAGTCGGGCGTTTTTCCATGTTTCCAATATTCTGAGATGGTCCTCTGCAGATTGAATAATTTTTCAATTTTTTTTCTCAATGAATTTTCTACTTCATTTTAATAGATATCAAATCCACAAAGCTCAAAAATATTTGTTGACCAGGTGTGTGTTTTACAATCAAAAGAGATATATCTTAAGTACTAATAAAATGTCAAGATGGAAAGGAACTTCCAAGTTCATCTGGTCCAAAATGGTATCTACGCTTGGTCTCCTCTCTGATGTTTCTAAAAAGTGGTCACCCAGCCTCATCCAATAATTCTTTTTAATTTTTAAATTTTTAAAATTTGTTCTAATTAGTTATACATCACAGTAGAATTCATTTTGGTTCATTGTACACAAACGGAGCACAAATAGTTCTTAAGGAAGCTGAAATCTACCTTCCCGAAACTTGTTCCCACTACTAGTTCTGCCTCTCTGGTCTTGACCCACACAGCTAAATGGAATGCCTCTAACTGAAGACTATTTCATCCATTTGGAAATGGTGTTGCAGTCACTCCAGTCTTTCCTTCTATGGGTTAAACAGCCATCTCTTTCAGTGTGACAATTCCCAGGGCCCTCATCAGCCCTTAACCTTTCTCTGGATGTGACCCAGTTCCTCATTGCCTAGTCACATTCATCATTCAAAGTTTGTATCAGAAAGGGCTCTATTTTTACTATGTAGGTTATTGACCAGTATGGCTCAGGACCTCTACTTTAAATAGTTTACTTCCTTTAGTGCAACTGAAGATGAAAGTATTTAGAGGCCAGCTAAACTCAACATTTTAACAGTTTTCTGCATTATCTCCCTTTTCATTTTTCTTAAATCTGCCACAACAAAATACCACAGACTGGGTAGCTTAAACAACAGAAATTTGTTTTCTCACAATTCTGAAGGGTGAAAGTCCAAGATCAAGCTGTTGATAGGGTTGTTCATTCTGGGGCTTCTCCTTGGCTTGTAGATGACCATCTTCTCCCTGTGTGTCCGCATAGTGAGGTCTGTGTCCTAATCTCTTTTTATAAGGACACAAGTTATATTGGACTGGGGACTACCCTAGAGAGCCCATTTTAACTTCATTGCCTCTTTCTCTGTAAAGACCCTATCTCCAAATAGAGTCACATTCCGAGGTACTGGGGGTAGGGCTTTGACATATGAATTTGGGAGGAAAGGACGAAATTCAGTCTATAACATCTCACAACAAAAATAAAGAGCTAATGTTATACTCATCTTATTCATCCTTACGTGAGAACAGTGAAGACACAGGAGGTCAATCCATTAACTCAAGAGCACCCAGCCAGTAAGATCCTCAGATGTGAATCTAAGACAGTTTAACTCCATCTCTTATAGTTTCTCCACCATTCCACAGTTATTTTCATGACTATATTTTACCTCAAGGAATCTACAAAATAAGTTATTCACAATATATATACATTTAAATATTTTTGTTTTAGTTGTACATGAACACATATCTTTATTTTGTTTATTTTCATGTGGTGCTGATCATCGTGTGGATTCAATCATGCGGATTGAACCCAGTGCCTCACATGTGCGAGGCAAGCGCTCTGCCCCTGAGCCACAACCCCAGTCCCTTATTCACAATATATTTTGATATGTATTTTTCTCAACAAGAGGAAGGGAGAGAGGGTGGATGGAATGAGAGAGAGAGAGAGAGAGAGAGAGAGAGAGAGAGAGAGAGAGAGAGAGAATGACTTCCTACTAAGCTCTTCTAGGAGTTGACTCAAAAACCACTACCAGTAGGTTCAGGAATTTAAGGAAGCCTTGGAATCCTTCTCCTAAATATAAGAGAGCCCCATGGGCTTATCTGGGGAAATTAGACATCCTACCCCTTCCCTCCACCCCCTCGACATGAAGTTCCCCATTGTTTTCACTCCACTCCCCTATCATCTCCCTGCCCACCCCTTTGCACTAAGATAGATTTTTGAAATTTAATAAAGCATCTTCATGGCTTAGGCTGTGATTTCACTCTGAGTGGCCAACAATATTTTATTTCACATGTATTAATTGAGCACCTATTAAGACCTGGATGTTATTCTAGGAGCTGGGGATGCAACAGTGAACAAACTCAAATATCTGTGCCCTACAAGAGCTTATATTCTAACTAGGGAAGACCTATAGTGAATAAAATAAACATTTCATATGTTAGATGGTATTAAGTGCTGGACAAAATAATAAATTAGGAAACTGTAGAGGAAATGTGTAGGTTAGAGTGTAGGAAAGTTGTGTAACAAAGTTTATCAAATATATAGCAACTATAATAGAAGTTTATTTCTTTCTCCTGCAAATGTCTTGTTCTAGCTGGCAGGACCTCTCTGCTCCACAGAGTCATTCAGGGACCCAAGTTTCCTCTGTCTCATTACTCTGCCCTTCCCTAAGGTATTGCCTACATTTGTGTAGTTGAAGCTGGGTCACTGGAATCTCTGGAGTTCAGCCTAAGGGAAAGTTGTTTAAAAAAAAAAAAAGGCAATTTCTCTCTTTCAGGCTAATAAGGCAGATGTTAATAAACTAGTTCTCTCACACTTCATTAGTGAGAACCAAGCCACATGGTCATGCCTAGTTGCAAGGAAGCTGGGAAATGTAGTCTTTATTGGGCATCCAGGTGACCAGAAGGAAGAAGAGAATTTGGGAGGTTGGGAGCTAGCAATGTGTCTCACCTTGTGCGGAATATCAGAGACTGCAATTTTTTAATAAAGTTTACTGGAAAGCCTTGCTTAGAATATAATATTTAAACAAAAACCTGAGGCAAGGAGCAAGTCATGCAGTTTTCTGAGGGAAAAGCAAATCTAAGTGCCCGAAGCAGGATCATCCCTGTCAAAGTCGGAAAACAGGGAGGAAGTCAGAGAGGCTGGAGTGGAGTGAGTGATGGGAAGGACCAAGGGGGCTGAGGTCAGAGAGGTCACCTGAGTCCATCAGCCTAAAACACCTTGCCCATGGTCTGAGTTTTACAGAGGGAGAAGAGATGCCATTGGAGGTTTGTGAGCAAAGAGGGACATGACAGAACTTAAACAGGAAGTAACCAAAAGGATTTATGTCCTTTATATCCTATCAACTATACTCATCACTGTACACCCTGAGGCCCTTTCTTCCTTTCTTCTCAACACCCCTCAACTCCTGTGCCCCTGAGACCTCAGAGTGTGAGCTTTGATAGCCCACTGCTTCACAATTCTTCCCAAATATCAAAGTGTAACATCACTCTCCAGCCCTGCACTTTCTCATTTACATAGCACAGACTGTTAGGATGAGCAGCCTGCCTGAC